ATATATATTGCGCTTTCTTTCCTACCGTCCATATCTCTACTCCTCCTTCTCTGTGTATGTTACTCTCTTGTGACAAATCTAGTCTTCGGCACTTGTATTATTATGATCAATTTGTGTTGGAAGTGCCGTAAAACTCTTACTCAAACTGAAAAAAAAACAACACAAAGCATGTCGACCTGACGGCATTTTTGTTGTCTTGAAATGTGAAAACTGCTACTATTATAATTAACATTTGCACAGGGCACCCAATAGCCAATAGCAAGCCCAGTGCGCTTAACAATATAGATCTATTATATTATTGTCACTAAGTCATCTAATTCATCTAACTCATGTTCTCTCTCTCTCTCTCTCTCTTTCTCTCTTTCTCTCTCTCTCTCTTTCTCTCTCTCTCTTTCTCTCTCTCTCTTTCTCTCTCTCTCTCCCTCTCTTTCTCTCTCTCTTTCTCTCTCTCTCTCTCTCTCTCTTTCTCTCTCTCTCTCTCTCGTTCTCTCTCTCTTTACCGCCCATGTGAGAGTCCTTCCTCAATTCATCTAACTAACGTTTTCTCTCTTTCTTTCTCCCTCTCCCGCAGGTATTCACCACCAAGTCGGACATGCTGATCCACTGTCAGCAGATTCACAAGCAAGATCCCAAACCGTACAAATGCCCGACGTGCTCGAAAAGCTTTGCCAACTCGTCCTATCTCTCGCAACACGCCCGCATCCACTCCGGCCTCAAGCCGTACAAGTGTGAGATCTGTGAACGCAAATTCACCCAGCTCAGCCATCTGCAGCAACATATCCGGACGCATACCGGGGAAAAACCGTACAAGTGTATGCACCCAGGTGAGTTCTAAATTGCTTCGGGGGTTTCGCTTTGATGATGCTTTTGATGATGATGATGATGGTTATGATGATGATAGTTATGATGTTGGTTATGATGATGATCATGATGGTCTCTTCTGTGGTGCTGACTTCCTGCCCGGTGGCTCTTGGCGCTTGGAAGGGAAAGGTGTGGGGGTGTTGAGGAGGGTGGGGTTGGGGATGGTGGGTGGATGAGTAGGGTAGATGGATGTTGGGAGTGGGAAGGGGGGAGGAATATGGTAAAATGGGAGGGTTGGTGGATGATTTTGTGGATTGGGCGGGGAGGATTGGGAGAAATAAATCAACGGGTGGGTTGATCCAAAAATGGATTGATGGATGGATAGATATGTAGATGGGTGGATTGATCTAAAGATAGACGATTTGATTTATGGATAGATGAATGAGAGAGAGGGCGGATGCAGATTGGTCTTTTTTGCTTGGGGGGGGGGTGTTAGAGGGTAGTAGGGGAGTTGGGTTGATCTCGAGATGGATTTATTAATGGATAATTGGGTAGACGGATGGATGGGTCAGTTGATGGATTGATCAGTAGATAGGTGGATAATTGGAGGAGAGGATGGAATGAGGGGTGGATGAGTGAATGGCTGGAGAAAATGCTATCGTAATCAGTGTATGCTGCCAGACAAGGGACTGAGCAGTGTGTGCGGGATGAATGTGTGGGCGGAGTAAACAATGGATAGACAGATAGGTGGATGGATGAATATCTGGATGAATAGATGGGTAGTGGCATGCTGAAGAAGAATGGTAAATAGTTAATAGTAGAAGTTGAAGGCGGAATGGAAGAGTGAAAAACTGAAGTGAGGGGGGTGGGGAGAGGGGGAGTGGGTGAAGATAGAAATAAGATGCAAGAGAGCGAGAGGGAAATAGAAAGGTTTGGGAGGGGGAGGGGGAGACGACAGAAGAGATATCGAGAGAGAGAGGGGGGGAGGGAAAGAGAGAGAGAGAGAGAGAGAGAGAGAGAGAGAGAGAGAGAGAGAGAGAGAATACAGGGTTAATAAGACGTGCAAATGTAGGGATGTATGGATGTTGTGTGTGTAGGAACGTATGTGGTGGGGTTTGTGGTGGTTGGTGGTTTCTTTGGGCTGTGGGGAGTAGGGATGGAAAAGGGGAAGGGGGGGGGGAGGCAAAGAGCAGGAGTGGGGTTGAAAGGGACCGGGCAAAGATGATGTATGTCTTTTGTGAAATCTTTTTACGCTTCTGATGTCGTTTGTCGTTCTGTGCTTCCATTGCTTCAGTTCTCGTGTCTTTTGTTTCTGTTTTTGCCGCATTGTGTACCTCTTGTCGTCAGCGCTTACCATACAAATCATTTCAGTTTTGTCCCCCTTTCCCGTCACCAGCTCCCCTCCCAGCCCCCAAAAAGATAAAGAAAAAAGGATAAAATAAAACCACCATCTAAACAAACAAACAAAGAAACAAAAATCAACCCCGTCAAAACACCCCCTACCCCCTCCGCTGAAAAACAAAGTTAAAGTACACGTAACGGCGATTCCGAAATGTTTCAGAACAAAATTGCATATTATACCAACCATACGAGCTCAAAGACTTTACTTTGCCTTCTGTCGATGTCCTTATTTGGTGATGTGTACACGTGAAGCCATTTTCTGGAAATCGACGCGGTTTTACTAGTGTGCCTTGACGTCATTTGAGATCCAAATTAGTTCTTCCTTCTTGAACTTGAACCAGCAGATTTTAAAATTTTTTAGACAGGTTCAGTTATTCTACGGCCTCACAGTTTGTAAATTTGGGCTTCGTATACTCGAGTCATGTGATCCTTTTCTTATCTGCATAGTTGTGAAGCAGATTTCTTGCCATCATGCTGAACTTTGAAGAGGAGGGACCTACCTAATTCGAAACCCCCAAAAGCACGTTCTTGAAATCGGTTTGTTTTGTGGAATTTTTCCAAGACTCCAAACCCAATTAGCTCTGTCTTGTCGGAAATGGACGTAACTTTTGGAGGACACGTCTCTTAATTAAACAACGTCCCTGTGTTGAAAAGGGGGCATTAGGCCTTTACACTTACTTACTTCCTTTGATAATATTTTAAAATAAAGTTACTTGAGCTTTTGCAATGAAGATGATACCACTCCAAGGTCCGTATGTATACCGCACCGGCGTGTACTGTTTCACCTGGGAACATTCTTATCGTTTTGCAGTACTGAAGCTATTCATTACTAGCCACCGGC